TTTAGACATGCAGTCCTCATACGTTCTGCAGTATAAAGCAAATTTTGATTCGGAAAACAGTAGTCTAAAAAAAAAAAAAATAAAAAAGCTGAAAAATAAAAGCTAAAAGAATGCTCTTTACCGCAAATTTATGGATCCAGAAAAATAATTTTATTCCATTTGCCTATTAAATTAAAATTGCTGAACCGATCTGCCAAGGCCTTTCCGTAAATGGTGACTGTTTTCAATATTTGATTTAATGCTTTTTCACATTATCAAAAGTAATATAAAAGAAAACGTGTTTGCTGTTTTAGATGTAAGCGCTAACAAAAAATACAAGCTTCGAAAAACAAAATTATAACAATAAATGAAGAAAATGAGTTAACTTCAGAAATATCATTTAGAATAATTTTCTTAGCAAAACAAAACTCTAATTAAACAACCACTATGGGAACGACACTGCAGGAATTGCGCAAGAAATCATAAGAATCAATGATATAATATGATCATAAAATTTCATTTCCTGCATTTTCACCATGATTATTTTTTCTCAGATTATTGACGTGCTAAATGAAGACCAAGATAAATAATTTCACGCATTAAGAAATATCAAATGTAAAGAAACAACATCAAGGTTTCTGTAGAATGTGGACTATAATAGTAGATAACTGCTGAAATTTAAAAGAAACACTACATCGATTTCAACATAAAATATAGACCTCAGGCATTTGAAGGAAAAATAGAATAATTTTCAGAAAATTAATGTTATTTTTGTATTTTTATTTTATTTATTAATTACTAATTACCTATTTTCTATTGAATAAATTGTTTAATGTACATTTTCAATATATTCAGTTGATTATGGATTGTATATGTTCTCACGTAAAGTGAACACGTAAGGATTTCACGTAAATCACATTTATGAAAAATTATTTCATGATATAAAAAAGCCATTATTTTTTACTTCAACATAAATTATTTCAATAGATTCTATTTTAAACAATATATAAGGTATTTCTCCCGCCTTCTTACCGTCCCTTGGTGGTGTAGTGGTCTGCATGCTGGGAACGTATTCTAGAGGTCCATGGTTAGATTCCCGGCGAAGGCTTTGCTCATTTTTCATCTTTTCTGCTTTCAAAAAATACTTAATGTCTCTACAGTGGCGCCCGGACTAAAAAGGTGGTGGATGATGATTCTCCACACCCAGGATTTGGCGATTGGTTCCCTTAAAATTCCAAGTCGCCCTTTAAAAGGGGGAGTATATAAGGTATTTCATCCGCATTCTTAGTGTGCCTTCGTGGTGTAGTGGTCTGCACGCTGGGCGCGTATTCCAGAGGTCCGTGGTTCGGTTCCCGTCGAAGGCGTTGCTCATTTTTCATCTTTCCTGCTTTTAAACAATACCTATAGTAAGTATATTGTTTGTCTTTTCTTAAAAGCATCCTGAAGTTCTTTTTTGTATTGTAGCATAGGCTATTTTTTAAATTAACCATGATTCCCACGCACTAAATAGTATTGTTCAGTGCATAATCTTAACTGATACGTTCATATACAGACAATAGTGAAAAAAAAATTCTTTCGGTAACTGCCTCAAATAAGTACTATGCTTACAAATGTAAGTTCTTTCAAAATTACATCCGATAAAGAAATGATAGGCAGTGTAAACAGTAGCTGTAAGTTCGGTCAAAACTGAATGTCAAGCTTTCTGCAAACTATAGATCTTGTATTCCCCCTTTCGTTTTCCGCATACGAAGTACAAAGGTCAGTTTATTTATAGTATGCAAAGGGCGTTGGGAGATGTGGCAGTCCAGCAATCACATGATGCCTTAAAACAACTGATAAATTATGGCCATTTTCGTTTTAAAGAGAATGCTATATCTCATTTCCTTGATAGATATATAGGATGGGTCTAAGGGTTATTAGCTAACTTAAAGACAGTAAAAGAGACGTTAAAATTTAATAATGAATTAGTGCTCCTGATCATCGAAAAGTACATTATTTCAATACGGCAACCACACGAAGATTACCTACCTCACAGAAGGGATACTTTCGTGGAGGAGTTGGTCTTTGAAATAATCATAAGTTCCAACCTTTGTTTGTTGACTTGTACAAAATAAAAAAAAATACAGCAGCAGAATAAAAGGTTTTAAGCGCACAGCAATATAAAGTATACATATAATACAACATAGACAGAATTTTAAGACGCTAATAAATAAATGTAGATGGATTTTTTTGACATGATCCCCCGACAGTGGCTTATATGCAATTTTAAAGTGGTTACCCATAACGTGCCTTTATAGGCTTACTTTTGTTTGCTTAGACAAAAGTATGAAAAAGTTTTAACTTCAATATTTTTTTAGTACCTAGAAATGGATTCTGAGTTCAGGCAAATAAAAATTTCTTTATTTTTTCTGAAACAAGAATATTTTGGCTTTCTAAGGAAATAAAAATACTTCACGTTGTATGCATTTCATTTTCAAAATAAATATGTTAACGAAAAATTTAATTTTCCTCATTTTCATTGCAAGTACATATCTGCGCTCGAATATCCGGAATATCTAATCCGGACAGTCTAATAACCAATCTGGATATTTGAAAAATCCGGTTTTTGGGTTCCTTCTTTTCTTTTCTTTTTTTTTTTTTTTTTTTTTCCTGTAATGCACTTGAAGGATTTTCATTTTTATTTATCATATTTTATTTTGACAAAGACAACGCTTTCGACAACGTTTCTTAAGACAAAATTGTCTTGTACTGAGGTAAAGTTGGCTTACTTACTAAACATTGTCGATACAAATCATATTGTGATAATTTATTCAGCAGTTTTTAATCTGAATTTAGATTGTTAGACAGCTGCCCAGACGGGATAATGTTTAATGAATCTGACTGCCGTACCGAAATACCAGTGTTCGAATCCCGAAGAAGGCATATATTTTTGTAAATTATAGTGTCTTTGCGGCACGGGAGCACTCTAAATATCTGGCTAGCCAAGAATCCTCTCGTGTGTTTTGCTGGTATTGAAAGGTGTAGGAGACGTTTCAACCACCCTGCGGGGTGCTCTTCCTTAAAATTGGAGTGGAAGTGTAAATCCAACGTCCTTGAGGCTCTCAGAAACCATTCTTCCATGAAATATAGGCTGAACAACAGTGTATACAGAATATAATTACATAATTCGTACGTTAATTACAGCAGTATTACATAATTCATACTGCAGTTTCGTATTGTCATTAAAAAATCCAAAGTTTAGGAAAACTCGTAAAATTTTCAAATTTGAGCCGCCTTTTTTGCGTGTATACCATAATTTTTCTGTGTATGATAAAAAATTGCACATAATGGCATGAAATATGAATTTGAATAAATTTTTCTGAATTTGAATAACATTTGAATAACTCTCAAATGAAGTCCCAGATTTCAACGACATGGACGTCACGTGTTATGCAGTACCGCTTGCTTAATTGGAAGGTAACGTGTAATCCTTGTTTAATTCATTATTGCAGAGCAAACGAAGGTTCTCTAGGTACAAGAAGGAATGTCTTCTCAGAGGATCCCCTAAAGAAAAGTGTATAAAACTACAAAATATTTATGCAACCAACTCATTCGTTCGGAATATAACCCGTGAGGGGAATACCAGCGTTACCCGGCTCCTCAGAAGCGGCCGAACGGTAAGGTCGCAGTGTACTAGTTATAGTTTAATCCAGGTTCAAATCTTGGCAAAGAATTTCGCTGTATGGGAGTCTTCGTGGTTCTTCCCATGTGCAATATGAATGTAAGTCCATTATTTTAACAGTAGCCTCCAGGAAGGCCTCCCTCTCCTTAGTCTGATAGTCATCGAGTGTTTAGCCATGATTCAACTAATCCAATCTAGAGTTATCCACTCGGCCACTGATGGGCTATGCACGCTTCTGCATTTTAATTACTTTCAGAAAATATAGCTTAATCTTTCATTTTTCGCTCAGCTAAATCACCGCCCCATTTAACGTAGATACTTAAATTAGATAGACTTTTAGATAACCATTTAACTATCTACGTAAAATGGTTATCTAAAGGTATATATGCCAGTTCTGAGAATTTTTTCTGTAGCACGGGTCATAAGATTTTTGGACACGTTTTCCAGATTATAATGATGCATAGGAATAATATGACAATTTGTAAATAAAATTACTAACCTTTATACTATTAGTATACATGAATTAAATTCATTTCAAATGTAATGCAATATGTACTTCCATTACAGAATATTTAGTTATGGCAAATGTGTATTTTCAAAAAGTTTATATTCAAAGAGATTAAAAGAACGTAAAAATGCATTGTATATATTACATAACTATAAAACAAAATTCCTAGCTTCCGTATGTTCTTTAAATCTATTTAAATTGATTTTTCAAACATTTGTGAATTTAAATTAATAGAACTTAAATTTAAAAAAAAACTGTTTTTATGTATTAAAAAATAACTTCATTTTTCATCTCTCTCAAAACTCAGTTAGACCTGCACTTAAAAATATTAAATTTTTAGTGCTACGGTAACATCTAAACGATTAAATTTTAGCTTTAATTAGCATTTACATACATAAAATATTAATTACTTCTTAGTTATTTAAAAAATTATAGCACCCTACCTAAGTGAGGGCAAAAAGTTAAGTTGATTCGAGTTTTCTCAAGAACTGTTCGCTATAAATCTCTCAACTTCCTAATATATGCCTATTCGTTAACATCAGTTAGTGTACTTAACAGAAGATCACATAACAGGACCATCAAGAACAGTTCGTCCGATATTTTAACCCTCCTTCATTCCAACAGGTGTTCCCTTGTTTGCCTCGCTTACATAAGAATTAAGGTAAAGTCCAGTTCACTGCTCTTAATCAAAGTCCAGTTCACTGCTCTTGAAAATAATTGCTATTCTTAATATTGGTAAATATATTCTGATACTTAAATACCTCAGAGAAATAAATAATTCGAGCCATCGTGACGAAATTCTACTAGGGATAATACAATCTTATTTAAAATTATGAATAAAAAAAGGCTTACCGCTGAGATTCCAAATGGCCATCCGTAATGTAAAAGGCCAAGAGGCCTGGGCCCTGTTCACCCCATAGGCATCGATGAGGGCCACATAGACGACCCCACTACATCGTACCAATCCCTGTATTACAAAGGTCACCCAACAACAAGCGCCGGCAATCACCCAACTCCAGCCGCTGTCAGTTACTTTCGTTGCCATAGTGACAACTAACTCAGCTGTTTTGCGAGGAAGCTGGGGTGATATTTATCCACTAGAGGGCGCTCTTATTTTGTAAATAAACTCTTCCGAAATGTGTTCCGCTCACCGCATGGAAATTTCACCCTCCTTTGCCAAATATTTTTGTCGTTTTGCCACTTATTGTTACATTATTACAGAACCGTTCCTAGGCCATTGGCTGCCGGCGTACTTTCCTAAGACTGACACCATCAAATTTTTAGAAAAATGCTCAGTGATTAATAAAATGTTCATTTCATACTAAGTATTTACATATGACAAATTGTATAAAATGTACTTAGATATGACAAATACAATGAATTTAAAATATTTAGGCGTGGTATCGCGAGAGTCCGGCCGCCCGCGTACTTTTACGCTCTACATCCCCGCTAGGAACGCTTATTATTTGAGTGATATAGATAATCCATCATGAAACATATACATAAATATAAGCGCTTAAATAGATAATATTTACATTCAAACAAAAAATAAAATAATAAAAAAAAAAAGATCAGGAAAAAAGATGTTAGAATTTAATTTTAACAATTACCAGCAGATGGCGCTAGTTTTAATAATAGTTTCTGATATTAGTTTTGGGAAATTTGTGCTTTCTTAGCGAAAACCCCGGCCGGTCAGAGGGTTAAACCTATTTGTCCAAAATACCATAGCACACAGAGGGATAAATATGCTTTAATTCAGTTTACACTGCAACACGAACCGCGCATTACGGATAATTTCATTTCTTTCATAGCTTCCATAGAAAGTGCCTTAACGCCTTCTAACATTTAAATTCAGTTATTGAAAGTTTCACACACGAGACATAACTTTTCCGCGAATTTTTCAAATAGAATATCTGAAACTAATTCTAATGTTTTCTTAGCATTGCGGGAATTTGTTATTGGAACAAAGTCTAAATTAAATCTTCCGCATAATTGTCAACGCTGAAGCTTAAATGTTTGAGATTTCTTTCATCTGCAGTTGCAGAATTTGTCTTGCAGCATTTCCATGTAAGCGAAATTTATAAGGTGTGATACGAAGGCTATGCAACTTATCTCATCATTAGCTTATTTTTAATAAAGTATGCTAGCACGTAATATTGATGCTGGATACTTTCTCAACAGAAATTTTCAGAACATGATTGTGTTTCCGTTTGAAATAATTATTTTACCGTTTATTTAGTTATCACTGTTAATTTTAATTGTGAAAAGTTTTAGAAAAGGATGTATACAATAAGTTTGGAATAAAATAAGTGTATACTTATTTGAACCTGCGTATCTTTTGTGATTAGCACTGGAATTCCAAGCTAACAATGAAAAACACATTTGAATCACATTGTTAATTTATTTGGGCTTGTGTGATTATGGCCTCTAGGGCTATCTGCCTAAGGGAAGGGATGCCTTACACTTGGGGAAAACCATGAAAACGCCCATGCAGCCAGTCAGATCTCGGACCGAACTACCAGTGTTCAGCGACTTTACCACTCGGCCGCTGGTGGGCTATTAATTTATTTATGGCTGGAAAAAAACATTAGCAAGTATGACACCCTTTTAAAAATTTTCAAGTGGATATGTTAAATAATTCGGAATAATATTAATAAACGTGGTGCGTCGCTTAGGACCCTTTTTAATGGTTCTGTTCTAGCTGCCTAAGCGGCCAGTATTAATTCTGGCATGTATTCGATATGACAGGTTACGTTAACAAGACTAAAAAAAATAAAAATAAAAAAAAAATTACGCAATTTTAAAGCTATTTTTAGGAAGACTTCTATTCTAAGCAGTTTTCAAAATTTAACTCTAGTTGCTCAAAGCAGAAATGTGCGTTCATAAATAATATGTGCAATTATTTCATTAATCTTTTTTAAATACGCAGTTCTCTAATTTCGTACAAGACGTAGGATAAATTGAAATAATAATAATAAAAAAGGATAAAAACCTGAAAGGTTTCAGATTTTAAATTACTTCCAAAGATTTTTTTTTTTTTTTTTTTTTTTTTTTTTTTTTTTTTTTTTTTTTTTTTAACATTTTGTCTGTTACCTTAATTTATTAAGTATCACGTTCTTTGCACTTAAACCATAAAATTCAATTCAAGAGTAAGATCGCAAAATAGTTTTAAATTGAGCGTATCTTTTGAATTTCCGATACGCAATCTCACACACTGGAAATAAAAATGTTTTTTTCTGTACAACGTTGCTCGCTTTGAAATTCTCGAGTTTGTTAAAGAAAAATTCGTTAAAAATTTACAAAATATGAAATCGATGATAAAACAAATTTCAAATTTGGTCTTCCACATGCCCATTTCGCAGTAGGATTACGTCATTCAAAAATCGAGGCGCTATGCCGTTGTTTTAATACGAGCGAGAAATATACATAATATGCGATTTCATTGTTATTTTTCAAATATATTGCAGGACTCTAACATTTGGTGGCAACAGTTTGAAAAGTGAAACGGAGGTTTATAGTAAACCACCGCAAAACGAAAACAATAGTTCTTCAGGGACAAAGCCCCTTTGAATTAAAAAGAATTCTGCTTCAGGTTTCAGAATCTTAAGATCTGAAAGATTTCAGATTTTAACGGTCGCCCAAAAGGTTTGTTAGGTATATTACGCCCTTCATGTGTTAGCAGTCTACTGTTACACTTACATCTACTACCCGATTTTTTTCCTTGTCTTTTTTATAATTAAGCATTGTTTTCTTTGCACTTATGCCACATGCAATTCAACAGCGAAATTACAAAATAGCATAGCAGTATACGTTTAGAATTGAAGCGTTAAGCGTTGAAATACACTTTTCTATATTTCTTCCCTCCCCTAGTCTTCTCTCAGTTTATGATATAAATGTTCAATTTCTTTACTAAGATGACTTTACAATTTCTTTAAAAAACTTTTTATTATTAAAATTTTGTGTGCTTATCGTATTTATTAAATATCACATTCTTGGCACTTACGTCATATCAAATGTGGTTCAACATCAAATTCACAAAATATTTAAAAACCTCATATTTTTAGAATTTTCGACAGACAGTCTCGCACGCTGGAGATAAAAATGTTTTATTCCGTATAGTATTGCCGCTGTTCGCTAGTTTGTTAGTCAAAAATCCATTACAATTTTCCAAAATATGAAATAGATAAGAAAGCAAATTATAAATTCCGGGGTTCCAGGTACCCATTTTCAGTTGGAAGACTGCGTTATTCAGAATTTGATGGCTGTAGGTACCGACGTTTTTTCACAGTACGAGAAACATGCATACATTCAGGCAGATTCTCCTTTCATTTAATTTCTTTAAATATAATATAGGGCGATAATAACAATTGTGCAATACGAAAGTATATACGAAACTCATAAATTTTATATTATATTCCTGGTGGAGAAAAACTTAAAAAATAGAAGGAGACTTTAGAATGAGAAAGCGGTTTAAAAAATTGCGACAGGCGGTCGTAACCTTAACCATTAAATGGATGAAGGTGAACTACCGAATTTGACTACTTTCCTTTTAAGCAAGTTGTTAGATATCTGTTAAATGGGTCGTCTTGTTACTACATTTTAATCTTTTAACTATTTTATTTTTACTATCTAACAGTGACTGGTTATTTAACCCTATGATAACCATGCATGCTCTTACAAATTCTCATTTATAAAACTGTGGTTCTTTACAGAATTATATTTAATATCATCGTCGAGTAGTGAATTGAATAGATATTTATTTTAAACTACCAAATATAGATTTCTATTAATCTAGCTGGAAATAGAAAATATATTTAAAAAGAATAGAACTAAAAATATGACAGAATATTAATCCAACGTTTTACTGTTAGCTTGTCGTTTTGAGTTTGAAATATTTACAAATATTTTTGCTTCTATGGTTATAGCTCCAGTTTCTACATTGTTAAATTGGAAGACGCGGACCTCTTGGTGGCCTCTACTGTCATTGACCTCACCCGTCATACCTAAAGCAACTTGATTTCATTCTCGGGGGCCCCTAGAAAGGCAATTTCTACCTGAAGGAGATGTGTGACATAACACGAACCGTACATTAAAGCGGTTTAACGTGGTGAGTCAACGCGCATTCATTCCCATCGCCTCATCGGAGCGGGCGGGATGTCCTTTGGGGCAAATCCCGTTTTTGTTATGTAAAAACTAAAAATGGGTAATGAGATAGAATTAATATAAAGTATGCAAAAAAACTAAAGTTTGAAGTCATGTCATGCATTAAGAGTAATACTTTAAGTTATTTATTTTTGACTTTCAGTCAATGTGTTTCTTAAACAAATATTCAAATTTATATATACTGAAAACTCTAAATACGAGGGAAGGAAATAACCACGAGTAAAATGTATGAGAACCATAAAAAATAAATAAAATAAACTTTCCAATCCGTTTCCTTCACACTAAATAGCGGCTGAGCGGTAAAGTCGCTGTAGTTCGGTTCGAATCCCGCGAACAGGCTGGCTGCATGGGTGTTTTCCCCATGTGTAACGTGTATACGAGCCAGTTTTCCCTTAGAAAGTCCTCCACGATGGCATCCCTCCCCTTAGGCAGATAGCCCTAGTGTGCTTTGCCATAATTAAATACACCACACACCACCTTCACACTAAAATAATAAATTAAATGTTTAAAACATAGATGAGTAAAAGCCAGTTAAAGACTTGCTTTTAATTTTTCTGAAACAATATAATTTAACAGCACAGAACAACATGTAAGTTAACACAGATCTTTATTTATGTATTACATAAATAATATAATGTTACGAAATGCCCGATTGTGGTAAGATAGCTTCCCCGCAAAGTGGGTTTAGGGTTGCCAAAAAGTGGCAAGGAAAGGCGTTGCCAGATTTGGCACGAAATCGCATATTTGGCGACAAAATAAGCGATATGCCATAGACAGAGAGAACATTCTGGAACGCTTTCTTACCAGTTTTCCCGAGAATGTTCTCGAAGGCAGGTCAGAAGCTATATATACCCTGCGTATATGCAGTGTAGCAGTGTATTGAATGCATGTTGAGTTCAGTAGTAGTGCTTGAGTTCAGAGGTTAGTTCGAGAGCTATCGACCGAGCCGGGAGCTGTACTTCAGTGCTTTGCCATAAAGCTGTCCTCACCGTTAGAAGCCTGAAAGACTGAAGGCTGTGTATCTGACTGTTTCAGCGCGTTTGCCGTAGTTTTTCGACGACTGTAACGCGTCTTTGGAACTGTCGGGTGTAAGATTACGGCGAATAAATTGTGTTTTGATGCTTCATCAAGGGTTGTCATCAGTCATTTCAAATCCACGAACCCGCAGAACGCAACAATTATAGACATCTTCGAACAGTTTTTTTGTATTCTAAGTATTTCAGATGCACACTTTTGGCAGTGATAGTACAAGGTCTATTAAATACTTCGCTGTACAAGTAAACTGCACCATGTACCGCTACCGCCCCACTGGCATGGTGGAAGAATAGCGAACTGCCATTTCCATTTAAATCCCATAGAAGGCATACTTGTAGTTAGTTGTCTTTTCCCTTCTATAGGTGTTTCCTCTGCGCAGTGTAGTCCAACCTTCTGCGGTACGTTTTAGACAATGTTTTCTCGGTGATGAAACTACCAATGGATTCGGCACTTCCTGACCAGTCCTTACCCGGCTATTCAATTAAAAAAAGGCCATGTAAATAAATTTTGTTGAGTGTATTCATCACTTTGATACTCCAAAACAAACAAACAAACAAACAAAAAATAGCCTATTACTTTAAAACAGGAGTTTCAAAGTCATTTCTTCCCCCATCTACAATCGTCATCACCGCACAGATGGGGACTAAGGGATTAAAAACAAACAGGTGAGTTTGGCAGTTTTCAACTGTCATTCGAATCAGACATTACCTACAAGGCAAGCCAAAAAGGCACGCTTTATAGAGTTAAATCATTTCTGAAAAAATATTAAAAAATTAGCAATATATTTATTCAAGCAATAATTATAATTAATTGCTAGATATTTATGATATTATATTTAGATAAGTAATAATAAACAAGTATACGTGATAAACTCTAAACAATTCATATTTACATCTGCTTCTACTTCAGAACTGGGCATCTCAGAGATAAATAATGAAATCAAGCAAAATATTTCAGCCTATACTAAGCTAAAATAAACGTTCTGAAAAATATCTGAACACCGAAGAAAAATTTAATTTCTAAAGAACTGTTTTCTTTAATTTTTGTCTTTCTGAGTTTTTTATGTGTACCAAAGCGATAGAGACCTTGCAGAATAAAAAATTGCATATTTTTGATCATTTATGCATGTCATAATCAGACTGTTGGGCTAACGACTGCGCGCGAGGCTGAAGATAAGTCACAACCTTGAGATTTAATTTTTATTCTTAAAAATGGAAAATCTTATTGATGGGATACTTCTCAATCCCAAGGACTCACTTCCAACACAAAACAGCATTTCTTTCACCGCAGAATCACCCATCCCGAACGCCTTTGAGAACTGTAAATTCTCTGAACTGCAATCCGATAGAAAAGAAAAATCATTCTGTTACGTTGGAGAAGTAATTACCACTAATATCACCTTTCCAATTTTTTTGGAAGCTACTTCCTTGAAAAGAAATGAAAAGAAATTCTTGCAATACGTGTTGAAATCTTTAATAGATTTCGGACAAATTTATAGATAGAAATGAAGCACCAATTACATTTAAATTTCCGTAATTCTTTCCTCTGAGGGGTCCCTTCATGTACCTTGTATACGTCATGTGCATTATTTATGATAACAAAGCTTGTGGTCGTGTAACACAAAGTTATCAGTTATTTCTGATTCAAAACGAAAACATTAATCGTAAAAAAGAGGATCATTTAACAGAAGAAAAGCCTTTGGGTGTATTACTTACAGCACTTAGCGTACACTGCAATCCAAATCAATAATTTTCTTTTTATCTGTTGCTTTATGTCTATAGAAAATGCAACAGGCGACAGAAAATGGGAAAACATAATGAATGAAAACGATATATTGTCAACGATGACTGTGATGGCTATTATTCTTTCTCAGCAGTTACGTACTTTTCATAAATACCAACAGTCAGAGCCGTGATGATTGATTCATTGACTGGGCTATGCAAAAGCACTCGAAGTCTTTATTTGCCTAAGAGAAGGATTGCCGTCATGGAAAACTTACTAAGCGAAACTTGCTCATGCTGACGTTCCATGCGAGGAAACCACAAAAACTGTCACTAAGCTAGCCTGGACCCAGTTACCTTAACCGAAGTTAGAACTCGGATGCTCAGCGCTCTATCCGTTAGGCTGCTGGTGGGCTGAAAGTGTGGTGAGATGCTTGACTCTTGGGGAAAATCATAAGGGGAGCAAAATTAAATTGGAAGCGTCATATATGTAACTGTAAACGCTGTACAGAATCATAGCTGGTCATGTAGAGTAAATAATGTTTTGAAGTCAGCAACGATAACCACTATACCGGTTGGGCGGCCTTTTTATAACATAAATGTATGTATAATTCTTCAAAAAATATGTTTGAGTGTAGTTTTTAACGCAGCACAAAATGTTTGTATAGCTAGCCAAAAGATAAAATGTAATTTTTTTTTGGCTTTTTATATATTATTATGTTAATAATGCTTCATTTTAAATGTTAACCATAAGTAATGTCTCTTTAATATCGCCACTACATAAAGGCGCTCGCTAGACATTTTGCACGACGGCGTCGATTAGGCTTGGCGCGGACCTGCGTACAAGCTCTGACAGTCAGATCCGAACAAGCCCACGAAATTCATCCTGGCTAAGACAGCAAAGCTGGCAAGACCCTTGAGCACCACAACAGGTGACAGTACGACTTCGCTGACTTCTGCCCACAGTTTTGATGGAAAGCACGTCGGGGAAGACGGGTTCCAGAGTCTCCCACTAGTCTCTCGAGAGGACTTGAGGCTCGTCATATATTTAGAGTGCTCCCATGCCGCAAAGACGCTATACATTTACAAATAACCATACCTTCTCCGAGAATAGAACTCGGGGCCTTTGGAACCGCGGTAAGCTACCTAACCACTACACCGTCTGTGCGGCCATGAAGAAGCGCGAAGAGGTTTTGTGAATGAAAAAAAATTAGATGCTTTTATTGAACTTGTGTTCATATCATCAAAACTTTCCACGGCAAATTTTATACTAAAATCGTAGTAAATGATCTATATACGTAAATGATATATATCGTGTAATTGATCTATATACTAGAAATAAGTTGCTTCTAGCCACCTCAATTTATAATGTCATGATCAATTTTTACGTACAAATAACAATGTACTGCTAGACAATAATTTAATTTCTGAAAATCAATTAACACAAAAACATACGTAACAGCACATAATGAATCGTCAAAATTGAGCTGTTAAAGTTTCCGCACAACTTTACAACAGTACTTAAATGTAAGCTTTGTAAACAATTTTATAATTCTTAATTAATTCTGATAGTAAACAGATTATGTTTACAAAAATGATTTGTAACGTGGGAACTTCCCGCCTGTTTCTAATGCAATACATAATGTTCTGGAAACATGTTGCCTGTACCCACTACAATAGATCACATCTTCAAAATATGCACCTGCACAGTTATGTATTTCGCAATGTATAACATGTAATTTAATCCCTTTTACTTGAGATAATTTAACGCTGAAAGGAAAGAGTACCGTTGATGTCGCCTCCAGTGGCAATACTTATAGTGCTCACTGGAGTCACATTTTCCATCACGACTCGAGGAATGATGCCAGAATGTTGTTAGTTTTATAGTTAGTGAGTGGGGCTAATACCTGCGTACTTAGCGTAAATATTAGGTGGCCCTCTCACTTTTACATAACATAACATACTAAAATCGTATAAAGATTTCAAGTTTTAGGGATATATCTATCTTCGATGACAATATAATGGTAATCCAATATATTGTCACTTTTCCTTCTATGCATTTTCGAGTTTGAGTTTAAAACTGTTGAACCAATGCTTTTCGATATGAACATTTGCGCTCAACGTTCGTCAAAGAATTTCTAAGAAAATAAGGCGATAAATTAGCACAACAAAAGGCTTCAGATATCAGGTATGAACGATATGTTCCTAGAAAGCAAATGAAAGAAAGAATGGAATGTTACTACATAAGACACAGTTATTTTCACTATGTGAAGCTATATGAAGCTTTTATTAAAAGAATAATAATACATTTAACGTTTTATTGTACATTTACAGTGCACTGACTTTCTGTCTCTCTAGTACGGAGTCCTTTCGCTTAGCTTATCCTCAAGAACAATAAAGACTAAATAAAAATACATTTTTGCTGTGCGACCTTATGTTGAATTTCATATAAAACTGAAAGAACAATAAAAGTGAAGCTCTTTTATTAAAGCATTGCGTAAGCAATGGGACAAGCAATCCGTATCGCTCATATATATTTTTATACATACATACTGAGATATAGAAAGGAAATAAGCTAATATTAAGTTTAAAAATAAACAAAACTCAACAACAAATAAGCGTTTTTTTTTTTAATCTGCATAAATGTATGTCTATTTCTCGCATTGTGATAAAACAACGGTATACAGAGCCATCGAATTTTGAATGACGTAATCCTCCTATGAATATGGGCATAGGTAAATAATGGAGAGGGAAGTCAATTCGGTATTACATGTATTTTTTAGTATTTTTTATATATTGTTACAAAATGTCACAGTTAATAGACTTGACACACAAATGTATTACTAATTGATGGCAGCCAGTTATTTTTTTATCCTGTATTGAAGGAATCTGATGAATTTCAGTGTTTTTTCCTCGAACTAACAAAATAGAAAAGTCAAGTGATATAGGAATTTTTTATGAAAGAAAAACCTCTTTTTACAGTATGATTCTTATTTTCTTTTTTCTCTTCAGATTTCCAGATCGAACTAGCAAATTTACGAAGAAACTATCATCTTTTTTTAATTGCTTGTACAATAAAAGAGAGTTTTCTTCATGGGCCCTCTTTGCTGTCATTTTGGCGAATGAAGCACTTTTCTAGAAGCCAGAGTGAAGATGCAGTCACTGATATGATTCCCAACACGAAGAACATATTGCTGTACGATCCAAGAGTATCGCGAAAGTAACCTTTAAGAAAAATAAAAATTTAAGTTATGGTACATATCCAATCAAAATACAAATTAATAAAAATTTTATTTACATATAATGTTTAACTTAATTAAAAATGTTACTTATAGTTCAGCAAGAAATATAAACATAAATGTTAATCATGTGCAAATTCATTCATTTAACATAGGATTGATTCTTAACCTCTTTCGAATTTCATAACCCCACAATAATTTTCAATAAATTAAAAAATTATTTTCTGTTACTTCTTCTTTGAACTTATTTTATTCACTAATAATAATTTTATTCACTAATTAACTAAACTAAACTTCTGGAGGAGGTAGAGCACAGCATAAAGATTAAGAATTACATAGGAACCCATGCCCAGAAATGTCACTGTAGGCCGCCATGGGGGGGGGCTGTACGGAAGGAGTGCTAGTGGAAAGTGAGGATTGCCTCATTCGAGCGGTAGACACCGTACGAAGAGCATGGAACGCTATACGAACGTAGAGCTTGCAGACATGCACTTAGTGTACGGCACAGCTGAGGGGAATGGACGAGACGCTGCACGCATTTATCGGAAATGTTTCCCTGACAAGCATCAACCACACCACAGTTTGTTTGCATGTCTGCATCAGAATTTGTGCGACTGCGGGTCGTTAAGAAATGGCAGGCTACGATCAACTCGCGCCGTCGTTAGGAAAGAAAGTGTGTTGGATACGGTGGAGAGTAATCCAAGGACCAGCATACGTACTGAAGGACCAAGGACCAACATACGTACCAAGCATACACCATAATCCAAGGACCAGCATACGTACCAAGGACCAGCATACAATTGACCTCTCAGTTAAGAATGTCCTGTACCAGTGTCCAGCGCGCCTTGAACGCCGAGTCCTTCCACGACTTTCGTCTCCAAAGGGTTCCGGGATGACTATCCTGAACGTTTCCCTTTCGCATAGTGTTTTCTGCAAGAAAGTCTTATCTTAACTTCCCAGCTTATGTGTTGTTCACGGATGAGGCCATATTCAACAGGGATGGCGTTTTCAATCATCACGATCTTGTTGTGTCTGAAATGGATTATAGCAGCGTCTGCGCAGCTGCTACAATCAAAGAAATTCTCGGTGTGTTTGAACATATCCGACAATCAATGGCCCACCAGTGTCAGGCATGTTTGGCGTCGGATGGTGCGAGCTTCAAGCATCTGTTGTAACATTCAAGCTGTCGCACACTATTTGTATTCATGTACAATAAAGGTTTCAAATTAATCACTCTCTTGTTTCCTTTCCCATCTTCTAGCTCTGCTACCACATACCCCTGACATTTCCGCGCATGAGTTCCTATGCAATTCTTAATCTTTATGATATGCCCTACCTCCCCATTCGTCGCAACATTTACGGGAAACCCTGTATATTATAATAGGACTTTACGTTTTATTCTAAAACATTTCATAATATTTTTTTAAAAGTTTTTATAATAATAACTAAAAATTTTCATAAACTTGTTGCGGCACCGTACTTTTAGAAACGCCATTAATAAAAAACAAAGATTCTAAGAGTGTAAATGATAATTACTATGAATTAAAAGTTCGACTATTATCTCATGAGTTTGCATTACAGAATTTTAAATCTTACATTAATTCAACTTTTTGACGGGAAAATCTTCGTAAATATGTATACTGTTATAGTGAACGACCCTTCCACATTAGCCTAGTGTACTGCCAACTACGAAATACGCAGCAGAAAATGAGGTCGGTATCATTTTGTAATACTAGTTGGTTATATCAAGTCTTTGCAAGTGGTCAGCTTTCCAATCCAATGATTTAAAATTCACTTTTCGACAAAGTTATTTTTTTCATTTAGCACATTCTTTTACGGTATTAAACGTAGTCTATAGAACTGCTCTCAACAATTATGTGTTTAATATTCAAGCACATTTAATGTTCTATGCATTTAATATTCAATAGTTTTAGTATGTTAACAGAATTAATTATACTAAATAATACCAGTTCTCTGAGCTGTTAACTATGGTTTAAATTGTTTAACTTAATTCGTGAATGAAAGAAATAACGTAAATTAGTTTACTTCTGTTTAAGAGAGCAATATGTTTTCACCAAAAGCTTGCAGTATTATGGTGCTGAATCCACTGCAACAAATTAGTACGTTTTCAAATGTCGCATACGAATTAAATGGTATATTAGGAGAATCAGTATTGAAGAAACTCTAATCATCGTTACTCGATTATTATGGAAACTTATATTTTCTTAGTATTTAGGCAGATATCAGAATTTGGTATGCTAAGTTATATAAATGTAAGGAATGAAAAAGGGTAGAAAACATGTCAACATATAATGTTGCAACGGAAACTTCCCGACGCTGCAGATAATTCTGGTCTCCTGCAAAGACGGTAGTTTCAAAGAATAAGACTATTTAAAACACTTTCTTGAAAATATTGGGGCAGAAGCAGTGAGGCTTTTCAATGAAAAAAAAAAAAAAAAAAAAAAAAAAACTTTCTTTTATGGAGACTATTTCTCTAGATAACAACCCTGAAAATGACGAATATTTTTTTTAAACGTTGTTTAAACGGAGTAAACACCGATATCAAAAATCACGTCTCTAAGGTAACTACATCAATGGAAGATTTCACTAGTGGGAACTATGCATGATCATCGTAAGAAGTGTTGTTGTTTAGAAAGACCGGGAACTTGCACCTACGTTGCTTCTTCATTCTGTTCTTGCATTCGTTGGAAATGGCCAGTACCTATCGGTCATTTAGTTGTCTCATCACCGAGAACGTCGGCCACGGAAGGCGACCGATTTTGCGCTTGCGAGATCAGGGAAGTCATGTCCCAGTTTTGATGGAGAAAATCCGGGAAAACGAATGCGAGGGTCTTCCATTACCTCCAAACTCCTCAAAAGATTATCAGCTCGGCAGTAGTTTTAAGCGATTTTATGGCGGACAGACATACTTAAAAATATTCATTGATTTTTCAGGATTCAAACCACGGAGGAGGATGAATTTGTGTGGTTTTAATTTAATTTTTATTAACGAGATAACATTTTAAGTTGCTTTCCTGTTTCTATTTTAAATTTTCGTTTCGGAAGTATATGAATTAATTTAATATTAAAAAAAGATAAAGCGTGATGATATAGATAGCTATTTAGATCTTTCGATAAGATAGCTCTTAAGGCCGCGCATATGTATGGATAAATAATCAACGGCTAAGGATAATAAGCAATTTGAAATATTTTTACCAATCAAAAAAGGTCTTGCAAAAGAGGTTATTCCATTCATGAAGCACATGCATCCGTAGGCGACTGCGTGTAATTCGGTTCCCAGGAAATCTACAAGAAGTATGGGAAAGACAACCATCGTGGTGCCGAGAAGGAGTCCATAGCAGCAACTTGCGGCAATAAGCGACCAATATGAGTTGGCGAAAGGGAAGCAAAAGAACACTAGTCCGATAATGGCCATGCATCCCATCACAAAGTGCGATCTTCTAAGAAATTGTCGATCGGTTATCCAACCTAAACATAAACGGCCAAATAAGTCAGATATAGAAAAAGCAAAAATTATGTACTTAGTATTGTCCTCCGGCACACTTCTATCCAGAGCGTAATCGACTATAATAACGACATACATATGGTACAGAAAGTAAAAACTCACATTTGTCACTGCAGTAACATAGAACATTGGACAGGTGAGGATGGCGATGAAAGAGTCTAAAACAGTGAAGGACGATTTTATATGGCAGTTCGCACGAGCATTATAAAGAAACTCTACACGTTCAGTTTCTTCCAAACATTCGTACTTAGAATCCGTCATAGGGATTTCCACATGCCGAATATCTGATGTATTATATTGATGTCCATTGCTGTCAGAATCTAAAGAAGGCAACTTTGAACAATTTACAGTTTTATCTTTCCGACTCAAGCTTTTTCGTAATACAGCTTTCCTTTCATTAGGATAAATTAATGCTTCCATATTTTGATTTAATGGCTTAGTTTCATCAAATTCGCATTTTGTAGTCAAATTTTGAAACAATGACATGTCTTTTGTTGGTATGAATTCCTTATTTCTGCATTCAGACATATTATTTGTTCTGACGGCTTGGTTGTAGGGTATGTTTTCTAATGAATTATGATGCTCATTATGTAGGCTCTCTGATACATCACATTCTGCTGATTTTGGTTCAAGAATATCATCTGGATCTGTCTGATTAAGCTGTGCTTCATACTGTGCGCCTGAAGAAATCTTAGCGTTAAGGGAATAACTAAATAAATTGTTCTTTTCGTGACTCCTAGTTCCATTTTCCACACTTGTCGGTGTCCGTATTATATCTGAATGGCTGTTATATGCTGGAACGTCTCGCATTTGTTGACAAGAAACATCTCGATTCATAGCTTCTTTTCGGTAGAAAGAGGCAATCTGAAAAGATCTGGTCTCCTTTCTACTTCTTTCCAGCCATGGTGGCGGTCTGAGTAGTGCACTTGCAATAGCAATATGTAGGACCATCCCACCAGTTAGAAGGAAACAGCCAGAAAGACCGTAAGTTGAGATAAGAAGTTCAAAAAGGGGAGGCAAGATGAGAGATCCGAAGCAGGAGCCTGAATTGGCTATTCCATTCGCAGTTGCTCTAAGATTCAGAAAATAAAAGTTCACTATGACGGGCATAAGGGTACTGATAAGGCCATAACCTATACCTGCAAATAAAAAGAAGATATTAAAAATTATTTTATAATAAAAGATATATTATTAATACTAAACGCAAAAAATCTGAATCAATTAACTGGAATTTCCTTATGGGAGAAGATTTTGAGGTCCTCTCTCGCCAGAAAAGAAGAGTGAGCAATGTTTTTTTTTTTTTTTTTTTTTTTTTTTTTTTTTTTTCTCTTTGTTTCAGGGTAAAATAGATCGCATGTATAGAATTCCGTGATACACTCGCAAAATAAATAAATATATAAATAAAATAAAAATAAAATACAGTTCTAAATCTCCCGTTCTACTGGGCCGATTCGGTTTTATTTATAATCACTCTTGTGTATTAATGGTTCTTCTTTCAGACCTTCCCAAGGGCGTATAGGTAACAAGTACTTGCACGTTGCCCATAATGCAAGGCCCGCCTCATGCTTCCATGTGGATGTGTATTAATGGTGTCTTTGTCTGAAATTTAAGTCATTTACCGCCCTGGAATAAGACATGTATGTTTGGAATACAGAATAGCCATTCCTACAAAATTTCTGATCGTTTAAGATATTATTAGTTACTATGTTGGTCATTCAGAAAGTACTGACAAGAATTTCTGATCCTTTAAGACATTATATTAGTTCCTATGTTGGTCATTCAGAAAGTACTGACATTCTTTTTACATGAATGAAAAGTGTAATGTAGAGCTACACTTACATATTTTTGAAGAATTCTTCCCTTAGCAGAATGCAGCATTCCCAACTTTCAGTCTGTTTTTCGAAAGGAAAAATCATAGGTTTCACTAATATGACTTTCAGGGTACTAATGTACCATTATTCACTCCAGCAATTGATTAATACAAAGTTTACGAAGCTGCTTTCTTTACTTTAGAAACAGATGAAAGTCACAGAACAAAGTCGATGAATAGTCCCAACTCCTCCTGTAGGTCCTTATTTCAATGTTCAAATCGTCAGTAGATTTCTTTGTGTGTGTGGAAAGGGGGAATGGAAACATGCTGCGCAGAACTATTTTCCTCATGCACAATAAAAGCCACTTATCCTGAATAATCTGGGAAAATGTTCATTTCTTCAAAAGATTTCTTAGCAACTTTCTTGATGATCATTCAGTTTTCCAGAAATACAGCTTTACTGGTATTAACATTATTCCCTGTAATATACATCGAAAACCTACTGGTATTCTAGGCACTTTTTTACCATTCACAAATTCCTTCTATCATTAAAAACTCTAACATTGATCTTCATCGTGTATTTCTTGCTTCATTATAATCATTAGTATGGTTCTGTAGTGTAGTAGTGTTATTATGTTGCTTTTAGTTTTATTTAAACGCAGACCAAATTTCATAGCTTCTATTTTTTTGTGCTTTAAATCTTGTTAGATCTCAGAAAGATATTAGCCTTCTATTAGAGATTAAAATTCACCGATAAATGACTGATACAGGAAATCATGTAGTTATGACTTACTCCCCTTTATTTTTTCTTAATATGTATCTAAAATTCTCAGTTAGTAGAATTTCTCAAGGTTAGAAAGAAAGGGGAAGTAATAGGATGTACTCTGACCTAAGATTTAAATTACATAAAAATGCATTCGAAAGTACAATGTTTCTACAATTTAAATGTTGACCTTCTTATAAGACTTGGTAATTCTAACGTATTCAATATGCGTAAGTACTTGTGAGGGAGGTAAGAATATATTTATGTAAAAAACGTTGTGAATAAAAAATGTAAATTAGATGTACAAGTGAAGCTTTGTTTTTTCTTAACGGTTTACCGCATGTATGGAACAGCGTAGTTAGTTGCCTTGAACTAAAAAGCATCAGCTTTGTATAATAAACTTTATTGCTATTCTAAAACATGAAATATTTAAGAGAAAACTTGCCTGCAGCGCAGTGCGGCTAAGAACGTTATTCTACTGAAATATAAACATGAACAACTGTTGCCATTCACACAAACGCAATGGTAAAACAAAAGCAGGTTGCCAGTAACAAGATTATTGTAAATCATAACAGAAAATTAAACAGTGAGAAAATAAATAAGGCAAAGAAAAAAAGAAATGCAAATATTAAATATACATCTAAATAGTAGTGTTGTAATGGCAGGTGACTATAAGAGCTAGTGTATCAAAAGAAAAATCTGTAGTTTTCTAATAGAAAGATATTTCGTATTAGGATTCTTCCAAATCCGCTTATCTAAAAATACACAATAGTAAACATTTAGCTGCCAAAAAATTAGACAACAGCTTTAAAAAAAACTAGAAATTAATGATATTTCACGAGACAGCTCTATTTTGCGACTTTTATAAAATTTCCAAATGCTGTTTTTCGAGCTCCGCATAGTTTAATTTCGGAATGAAAACATAAAAAATATATGCATAAATACATGCGTAATCTTAATTTGTATGGTTTTTTACTAATTTTATTTATTATTGATGATTATTAAATATTTGTTTTCAGGCAGCATTTGCTTACACGTTTTAACGATTCACATAAGAATTACACTTTGTTTTGACAACACGAACTAATATTAATAAGGCAAAAAATTACAAATTTCGTTGCTCATTTAAAAACGCATAATCTTGAAAAAATCAGTTGTCATATGGGTGTCAATAGACAGCTGAAAATACGTACATATTTGAGGGGTGTTTTGCGACTTTCTAAAATTTCAAAATGCTGTCAAATTTTGTGAAAAAGTTTGCTTTCGGCGATCAGAAATTTCACATCTGATAATTTTTTTCTGGATTATTGACAAGAAAATCAGTATTTAATTTACCCAACAACTTTCCTGTTTCAATGTATGAAATTAGATTAATTTTTTTAACTAATTTAAAAAACGTTTGTTAAATGTATTTTTGTTTTGTTGCTGTATGTTAGTCTCGTACAGTTTGAATGATAGTCCTTTAATCTAAGGAATTAAATGGAGTGTCCTTAACGCAATCTTCATTCCTGAAAGAAGTCACTTACCATTCCATTAACATAAAAAGTATTACATTTCAGTATCCTTTCGTAATATTCCAATTACTTTATTGTTTATCAGAAAATTCCTCAGTACTTTTATTACAAAAAGTATTCTCTCCGTGGTTTCTTTTGCATTCCTGAGAAAATCTGAGTATTAGAAATTTAAAAAAAAAAAAAATAAATATAATTTTTCGCATTTCTAAAATTTTAAAGTAACCTCAAGAGAGAGAAATGACTTTTTATATTTTGAAGGTAAAGTTCTACAGATCCGGAAGAATAGAATGAAAATAAATATAACAACGTTACCGAAAACAACTCCGAAGAGAAGAGTGATTATCCTCAGAGAAGTAGTGAAGTAACAAGATGATATTCCAATAGTGGCAATCAGAGCCCCGGCCATTGCTACAGGACGAATTCCATACTTCTGCCCCAACAGTCCCGAAAAAGGGCCTGGAAAAAATATTTAATAAGATTGTATCCTTTATGTTCATTTAACTAGTAATACAGTTAGGCCTCCTACAACGCGGTAGATACGCTCCTTGAAAATACCGCGTTGTCGGAAATTGCGTTATAGGAGACACCAACTTAATATAAAAACTGGAATTCAGTTCTAAAAATAGAAAGAGTGTCTTCTATGCTGTATATTTTCATAATTTTTTTAATTTATAAGTAGTAAATTATAATAGTTTTTTTTAATTTATAAAAAATCTCATAAAAAATTTAAATAAAATTCAACATCAAATAAAAACTAAAATGATTACGATTTCAAGTCAAAATCGAAAAGAAGTAAACTTATTCCTCCTCGTTACTTATTGTAGTTGTTCGAAAGGATTGCTTCATCGATAAAGCTTGTTTCATTGATAAGTTCGACTGCACTTCCGGCAGGTTTAGGTTTTAAAAAATCTGTCATTAGATATTGTTTGTTCTTGCTTTGCAAACCTTTATAATTACTTTGATATGCAGATACGCAGTTTTGAAGTTTACTTTTAAATATTTCCGCTCTCTCCGGCAGACGACCGTTCTCTAAAAAGTAAGATTTCATCTGTTTCGCCATGTCCAAACATTTCAGGGTGAAGGTTCACCCTTTCAAATACAAACAAATGTTTTGAACAAAAACTGTTTTTGGTTTCTTTATAGTGTGCGTGACAATGAATAATACACATTTATGGGTGCTCGGCCCACTTTAATAAAAGTCTTCGTTGGGTTGTATTCTTGCATGGAATTACTTCTTCGCGCTTAAAATGTCTACATATGATTACAATGTTACTAAAAGAGCGAAGCCCCCAGCTCCCCCCGGCCAATGATTCAGCCATAAAGCGTTTAGAGACCAGCCCGACAAGACAAAAATGAACTGAGAAAAAATAAGAATAAACAGTTAAGAATGTAATAAAACGACACATCAAGAAAAGAAAACAGATACATATCATTTGCAGAGACATTAGATTTATTTTTTGGAAGAAGGCAAGATGAAAAATTAGCAGCCGCCTTCGCCGAGAATCGAAACGCGGACTTCTGGAATACGCGCCCAGCGTGCCGACCACCACAAAGGCAGGCCAAGTAGGTGGGAAAAATACCTTATATACTCTCTCTTTTAAAGGGCAACTATGGTTTTTAAGGAAACCCAATCGCCAAATCCTGGGTGTGGAGAACCATCATCCAACACCCTTTTAGTTCGAGCGCCACTGTAGAGACATTAGGTATATTTTTTGGAAGAAGGCAAGATGAAAATTTAGCAACCGCCTTCGCCGGGAATCGACCAGCAGACCTCTGGAATACACGCCCAGCGTGCAGATCACCACACCACGAAGGCATGCCAAGAAGGTGGGAGAAATACCTTATACATTCACATATCTACTCCAGCCAAATATCTCTGTGATAATATTCATTATTTACCTGGAATAAAGCAGCATTTTACTATAGTCCTTAAGATATCTTGGAGATTCAATTTTCATTTTGCCTCTAATACTAGCAATCAGGCCACAGCTTTCAACGAAGTGAACATTATCACCTCCTCTTACTCTACATAGCTGACAAAGATTGTTTTCTCGCAAAGCAAATCTATTCAAGTACACGGGAAAGCGTCCATCTCCCGTCAAATCCTGATTCAGATCTTTATCATTATACCACTTTCTTCCTTTATAAATCTGTATCCTACACATATAATTTTTCTATTTCTCCGAGGATTCCCAATTATTTTTTCATTTTTCATATATACTATTGTATAAAAATCCAATAATATTTCTTCTAGCGCCCTGCAGTTTAATTTCTTCACTGTTGCCAAGTGTGGCTTCTTTTGCCAGTGTGTAAGTCCTCTCATTATCATGGAACCCACATGTGCCTTACTCCAATGTATTTTAATATTATATTTTGTACGTAGATTTCTATATTTCGTTTTAATATTCACAGGTATCTATAGGTAGAGAAGTAAAGAAATCATCATCAGATTTTTTGTTCTAATTTTATACACTCTTAGACAACAACAACAAAACAAAAACAAACAAACAAACAAACAAAAACAATGCACCACGACGCACCAAAATATAAAGCAAATTGGACACAAATTGATATGCATACAGGTTTCGACGGAAAATGCAAAATTTTACATTTTGGCTGCCAATGAATGAAGGGTTGTCGCTACAGCGCATCTGATCTGCGCAACTGGCAGGATATTTGAGAGGAAAAATTACGATTCCAGGTCATAAATTCTTCACGAATTTCATTCCGTGTACTCTGGTAGACAGTAACTATGCCTCGCATATAGCTGCGCGAACGATATGCGCAGATGTCAGAATTTTAGAGAGGTCGTGTAGTTGTTCTCAAAGAAACCGGTTGGTCGAATAACTCGACATTTGAGCAAGGGCGATGCCACTAATAGACGATGTTGGCAGGAACGGCTGAATCATGGCCGCACAAAGCGTCAAGAAGGAAGCGGTAGGCCTAGAGAAACGATAGAACGTGAAGACCGAGCAATCGTCAGAGTGACACTCACAGCCTCAGATGCATCATTATCATCGATTGTACGTGCAACTAGAGCTTCAGTGACCGCAAGGACTATTCATAGACGGCTCATAGAAAGGGGGCTGAGATCACGACGCCGCTTGCGCCGACTACGATTGACCTCTGTAGAACGTCAAGCCCGTTTGCAGTGGTGTCGGGCTCATTCACACTGGAATATATCTGACTAGAGTAGAATAGTCTTCAGTTATGAATCCCGCTTTGAACTGAGCCCCGATGGCCAGCGAAGGCGAGTCTGGAGACGCCCCGGACAGCGGTTTGATACCAACCTAACTTCTTCCGGCAGACAGGCCGACAACCAGAAATGATTGCCTGGGGTGCCATTTCATTTCATAGTAGGACTCCTTTGGTTGTCATCCGTGACAACCTTACAGCACAGCGGTACGTTGACGAAGCTCTAAGGCCCGTTCTGTAGCCCTTCATGCCACGCCAACCTGGTCTCACATTTCAGCAAGATAATGCTTGCCCCCACACTGCACATATTTCTACTGCTTGCCTTAGTGCTTGTCGAACATTACCTTAGTCAGCAAGGTCGCCGGATCTCTCTCCTATTGAGCACGTTTGGAGCATTATGGGCATAGCCTTCCAACCAGCTCGGGATGTTGACGATCTAACGCACGCCAGTTGGCCAGAATTTGGCACGATATCCCTCAGGAGGACATCCGCAACATCTATCAATCGATGCCAAGCCAAATAACGCCTTGCATAAGGGCCAGAGGTGGACAAACGCGTTACTGACTTCTTAACTTTGTGAAGCTGTATAAATCATCCAATTTTTCTCAAACTGCAATCATTTAGACTAGAAGAGAAACACGCTAATGTGACAATCAAAATTGTAAAAAACAACCTTATATTTAGCGTAGGTATAATGAAACACTCAATCGATTTCGAGGGCAGCTAAAGGTCCCTCCTCATCAGGAGAAAGAAATACATAGAAAGAAGAAAATAGGAATCACAGAAACACGTGGTGCTTATCAGACTGCA